CACAGTCCTCAATCACTCCCCCACTCACGCCAAGAGCTGCAGGAAGATTCCTGGAGCTGAGCAAAGAGGAGAGTTTGGGAACTTTCTTTCCCTTTGACAACTTGGCTCTGGATACACGGGATTCTTGCTTGGGCTTCTCAGATGTCTTGTGCGTTGGCCCCACTGGTGGTCGTGTTAGAGTGCAGGTCCCGACTCCGTGGGCTCGGGGTGGCCTGAGGGCCTGGCTTTCCAACAGGCTCCCAGGGGAGACGGACAGTCCCCCTGGACTGTGCTGTGAGCAGTGAGGAGCAGGGGATGTCACCAGGAAGTTCTCAGCACCCGGGTACTTAGCTTCCTGTAATCACGTTTCCAGTGTCACGATGTTCACTGTTTACTAGCTCACCAGATGGCAAATACTGGAATTGGGGGCGGAGCTAAAGGGAAGACCACCTCTACAGCTGAAAGGACCTGGACAGTGTTTTCCTGTGTGTGGCCTCCTAGGAGTTCCTTCTCTTTCTTTTAGTCCCCGTTTAACCATCTCAGTTCCTCCCCAGGAAGACACACACACACACACACACACACACACACACACACGCACAGGCACACACGCATGTGCATCTTCTGCCCTCCTCTCTGCTGGTGACACATTTACCACCCTGAGCCCCGCCCCGCCCCAGCCCTGGGATGCGCTGGACACGCCCCTGGTGTCCTCTAGGAATGCAGCCTCTCAGAGGAGGTCCTGGCGTAGCCGTGTGCTTCCCCCTCGGATCAAAACTGACAAAAGAAATAAGCCAGTCAGAGAAAGATAAATATCACAGGATCTCACTCCTGTGTGGAATATAATGAACAACATAAACTGATGAACCAAAACAGAGACAGAGAAACATCCCTCAGACCGTCAAACCTCAGAGGGAAGGTAGGGGTGGGTGGGGGTAAGAGGGAGAGATCAACCAAAGGACTTGTATGCATGCATATAAGCCTAACCAATGGACACAGACAACAGGAGGGTGAGGGCATGAGTGGGGGGGGGGGGGGGGCGGGGCAATGGGGGGATAAGGACACATATGTAATACCTTAATCAATAAAGAAAATTTTTAAAAAAAAAAACTGACAAAAGAAGACAAAGCAGGGACAGGTCCTTTAGAGCCGTCTTCGCTTGTTGCTCAGAGCTATGCTCCCAAGCAGCCCTTTGCAGAGGAGTCTCGTATTTCTGGTCCCAGGGCCCTTTGTGGCAGAGCTGAGCCGTGGGTTACTCCTACCGCCTTCTGTTCCCAGTTCTCTCTTGGGTTTCTCCAGGCTGCCCTGGTCTGTGGCCTGGAAATTGACCGGGTTCAGCTGGCAGCACTGAGCTGGTGTTACGGTGGGTCCCCGGCAGGCCGCTGCAAACGCCCAGTGACCCCGGCCTCCAGGTCCCGGCGCAGTCAGACCCCAGCCACCTCTTCCAGGTCATTTCCTTGCCCAGGTGTCCTGTACTCCTGCCAACCTGAACGGGGCATGCGCTCACTTTTACCCCGACGTGTCCCGCCTCCGGCTTTCACGCACACATTGTCTGCATGTGGAAGCCATTCCTCCCATTGCCACGCAGACGGATCTGCCCCGCCTTTCAGAGCTCAGCTCCCTGCCACCGCTCCCAGCTGTTTGTGGTCCTCTTCAGCTGGGAGCCATCACTCCCTCCTCCCAGCGTCTTCTAGGAAACAGTTCTTCGTGTGACTTTTAATGTGACCATTTGGCACCGGGGACATTTGACTTGGCAATTTCGATGCAGCCTTAAAGAACAAAACTTTAAAAATGCTTTCACACGTCCATTGAGGTGTTAGTTGAGATCCTGTTACGAGCCAAACACGCTGCTGAGTGCCCTGGGCTTTGCCCTTCGAGTAAAGGAGGAGAAAGACGTTAGAGGTACCGTCACACAGGAGCACACCGTCGTAGGTTGTGGTGGGTGCTATGAACGGGGAGAGCAGACATTTGCAAAATGAAAGACTAGGTTGGACCTGGTCTAGACTGGGTGCTTACGAGCCCTTCTGAGGAAAGGACATTTGAGTTGGGATGGGAAGGTGAGTGGATGTTAACGTAACAGAGAGTGGAAGGGCAGAGGGAACAGCATGTGCAAAGGCTACAAGGCTGGAGTGTCCTTGATTTCTTCACTGTTAAAACTCATTGTTTTCTGTATGGAAATATGAAGTAAAATTTCTTAATGAGTGTGTATGGCTGGGGAAGTGAAGGGCTGTGCCATGGTGGCACATTTCACTGACTAAGCACATGAGAAACGTGAGTTGCGTGGGCCAGGACTCCGAAAACCAGACACCCACGGGTTATACCTCCAGTCACAACAATATCTGATTGGCCAGAATGGGCCATTCTCTAGGAAACAGAGAGCTCGCCTACGGGCCGGAGAGGTTTGAAAGGAGAGGCGTCTACGGTTACCGCATTTGGATGACAAAGACGGGGTGGCCTCCTTTTCGTGTTTTAAACGGGGAAGTGGTTCCGACCAGCGACTGGAAGGGACTGACCACGTTCTCACACGATCCCCCTTGTCAACAGCCGCTGTATGTGTCCCGCCGAGAACACCGGCTGCAGAGACCAGCCCTTCACCATCCTGTACCGGGACATGGACGTGGTGTCCGTACGCTCCGTTCCTGCTGACATCTTCCAGATGCAAGCCACCACCCGCTACCCCGGCGCTTACTACATCTTCCAGATCAAGTCTGGGAATGAGGGCCGAGAATTCTATATGCGGGTAAGAGGGGTGGCGAGCGATGGTCACTATCTTTTTTTTTAAAATAAATATATTTTGATTGATCTCAGAGAGGAAGGGAGAGGGAGAGGGAGAGAAACATCAATGAGGAGAGAGAATCATGGATCGGCTGCCTCCTGCACATGCCACACTGGGGGATTGAGCCCACAACCCGGGCATGTGCCCCGACTGGGAACCAAACTGTGACCTCCTGGTTCATGGGTCGATGCTCAACCACCGAGCCACGCCAGCTGGGCAGATGGTCACTGTCTTCAACCATGCCTCGTGTCGTCTAGCCTGGCACGTGTTTCTAGAAACAGGTCAGCATGCAGCTAGGAGGGGCTGGGGTAGAGAGGGCAGAGAAGAGGGGAGGGGAGTTAGGCCTCCAAGGTGCTGTTCCAGTAGCGTTCTGTATGGCCTTGAGAGGGCCACTTCTCCCCCGTGGGCTTCAGCATCCTCGTCTGTGCCACGAGAAACTAGGCCAAAATGCAACTTTCCACCTCTTTCCTCTGACAATCCCACGGGAGAGGCATTTACATACCCTCTTATTCATCCACTCATCTGACAAACGCTTATCAAGTGCCTACTATGCACAACTAGAAACTGGGAATACAGCGGTTTGTAAAACATCCCTAAACCCCCGCCCGCGTGGTACCTACGCTGCAGTGAATAGAAAGGCGCGCCTGGTGGCGGTGGGCTCTGCTTGCGTGTCTGACACAGTAGCCACGGTCTCTTTAAATTTAAACCAATTAAGATGAAATAAAATGATAAATCAGGTTCTTCCGTGGCACCAGCCATATTTCAAGTGCCCAGTAGCCACACGGGGCTGCCGCATTAGCTCAGAAAGAGAGAGCAGTTCTACCTCCTGCCACCTCGGGTGGTGGCGCCTCTTAGCGCCCACGGGCTGAGATGTTTTTCTCATTTCTGTGAGAATTTGGGCACTGGCCCAAAAATGGGTTCCAGAAAATCTGGAATTACCTGAATTATCCAAAATAATCCAAAATATGGCGGCCGAGGCCTGGAATGCCAGTTTCCTATGGCTGCTGAAAGAGATTGCCAAAAACTTGGTGGCCTAAGACAACAGAAATTTATTCGCACGCAGTTCTGGAGCCAAAAGTCTGAAACCACTTCCACTGAGCTGACATCGTGTGCTGGCCGAGCCGTGTTCCCTCTGGAGGCTCCGGGCGAGAATGCCTCCGTCCCTCCTCCGGCTGCTGGCGGCCGCTGCCATCGCTTAACTCTGTGGCCACATCGCTCCAGCCTCTGCCTCCGGGGGCACAGGGCCGCCTCCTCTCTGTGCAACCATCGCCCTCCGTCTCTCACAGTGACACTAGCGTTTGGGTTTCGGGCTACCCAGCGAATCCAGCATAATCGCTCTGTGGCCAGGTCCTTAACTTCATCACACCCGCAGTTTCCTTGTCCTTATACAGTAACATTGACAGGTTCCAGGGCTTAGGACCAGATATCTTGGGGGAGAGGGGAGCATTCCCCAGGAATCTGCATTTCTAACAGATGCAGCAGGTGGTCCTCCAGAGTCACTGTGGGCAGCGATATGCAGAAAGATAGGCCATGAGAGCTTATCCACCTCTAGGGCAGAGGGTCCAGGCCTGCAAGAGGGCCATGTGTCTGAGCTCTCTCCCTCTCCTCTCCCCATCTCCTGGCAGACTCTTCCAATCCCTGCCTCTGGGGATGCGACTATGAAAACAGGGAGGTCTCAGAAACAGAGGCTAGAACAGGTTCGTAAAGGTCCCAGGTGCTGGCGTCGTGCCTGCGTCCTCACTCATGTGTTTTTGGCAAGACCCGCACAGGGCCAGGTCACGTGTGATAACAGGGCCTGTGAAGCCAACATCTGTAGGCCCGCGTAGCAAGGTCAAGGGCTTTGGGAGGAGATGGAAGGAGGGGAGGGGAGAGACGCTTCTGCAAGATGAAGAAGACGGAGCTGTGTTTATGTCTGCCCTTTCCCCCAACCCTTACGCAACAGCTGTCCACCAGAAACCCACAGCTGGGAGCTTCCGGGGGAAGCCTCGCCCACTGGCCTTCACCAGCCTGGCCTCTCGCATCACCAGGGGCCCAATCAGAGGGCACACCGATGCTTCTCCTGGGGAGTTAAAATACCTTCACTGACACCACCTGCCTCCGTATTTTCTCTCCCAACAGAATGGCAGACCGGCAGAAGGTGGTCTTGTCTAGGCAAGACTGGGCTCCCCAGGACGCCACCCACTGAAACCCCCCTAGACCCAAATGTTCCCCGGTGGCTGAATTGTAAGAGTGACGGTGGGAAGGGGATTATCCTGCAGGTGGAGTGGGCAGGTGTGAGGGCTCCTTCCTGGAGGTTCCCTCTGCTGCCCGGGTTGTCGCAGTAACTAGGGGCCCCTTGAAGCTCACAACGCTGAGCTGCACGGAGCGTGTGCCCTCTCGGAGGACTTTGAGAAAGGCCCTCGTTCTTTAGTATTTACTCAGAGGCTGCTGAGGGGATGAGGGGACGCAGGCCTGCTCTGAGAATGGCTGAAGGAGCTGAGGCACGGGGAGGGAAGGTTCCGAGGGCTGAGTACAGGCTCCATGTGGAGAGCCTGTGCCGAGGCCGCGGGCATGGGAGGAGGAAGACGGACAAGGTGGCTTCCACGTGTCCAAGCTGTCCAGCGTGCAGCACCCTCCTCAGGAGGCCACAGGCTGTTGTGCTCTTTAAAAATTTCTTTTTCTTTTTTTATATGACTTTGTTTTTACATATTTATGGAAGAAAAATGAGAGTATACAGACAAACCAGAAAGTTACAGCGTAGTCACTCTAGTGTGGGCTCTGGAGAGTTAAAATAGACTGGGCAAGACTGGCCTCATTGGCGTCCTGCACGTTGCCAACCGCATGTCCTTGGGCCTGTTACCTAACCTGCTGGGCCTCCGCTTCCTCGTCTGGGAAGACGGACGATGGCAGTGTTTACTCTGGGATCAGATGAGATCATGCACGTAGCTCGATGCCTGGGACACGGAATGAGACGGTTTTTATCAGGCCACTGGGATGGGCAAGGGTGGAACGTTCCATGGCTCTCTCCTCACCCTGCTGTCGAGCCCGGCTGCCCTGGGCCACCGCTCAGGTTAATCCCGGAGGCTTCCCAGGTGCTCTCTCGGTCACTGAGGAACGGTCTCCTTCTCCCACAGCAGAAGTCCGGGCTGGTTGAAGTGGAGCCCTCCACCTCTCAGCCTCTCACTCAGTGTCCAGGGCCAGCTCCATTCTGTAACTCATTCCTTCTTCTGTCACCAGCATTAATTCAGCACCACCATGTAGGTGGCTTTGTGTCAGGCTTGAGAGTTCAGGAGCAAACAGGATATAGCCTCTGCCCTTGAGGAGCCCACACTGAGGGGAAGGGGGCGGGCGACCAACCAGGCAAACATTTACAATGCAAAGTGGTGATTCTCAAGTAGTGTGAGTGCTGTGAGGCGGCAGGAAATGGAGAGGTCCCGAGACCTCATCATTGAGCAGAGTGGTCAGAGCATGACTTTGTGAGTCAGGCGCTCTAGTACCATGTGCAAGTTTTGTAACCTTAATTAGTGTACTTAACCTATTTACACTGCAGTGTTAGGAGGATCAAGTAAGATACATGTGAAAGGTCATAGCCAACTGCATAGTATCAACCACTACCCACACCTCTACCCACCACCATCTCTACCTCTACCCACTACCACCTCCACCCACCACCACCACCACCACCATCATCATCACCACCACCACCACCACCACCACTATCATCATCACCACCACCACCACCACCACCACCATCATTTTCCAATGACCACCAAGTCCATCGATGACCGGAGGCTTTCAGGGGCTGCTTCATTAATGCCCTGACTCTGCCCTAAAAGCCTAGAGGAGGTGCAAGTGGCTGTCCTCAGCTCTCCTGACAGGCACTTGAGTCCTCCCTTGTGCTGGGGGCTGGCCTTTCTCCGGCTGCTGCTGGTCTGAGCCGGGTGGAGATTGAACTTGCTGATCTCTATAGCTATTTCCAAATTGGAGGCTTTGACCGGGAAAGCCCCACGGAACAACTTGGAAGTGTCCAGTTGTTCCATTCCCCCTCCCGGGCTCCGCAGCTCCCCCTCCAGAGGGCTACCCACAGCTCAGGGTTCTCAACCCTTGGCCTTTGCTCATGCAAACAATAAAAGCTGGTGAGATATTTGTGTATGTAAATGCTGCATTTCCCTGTGTGGCTGTGTCGGCTGGAGTCCTGGCCCAGGGCTCCCAGCTTTTGCAAGAGCTGACAAGGAAGTCGGAGCGAGCCCCTGCGTGAGCAGGTGCCAGTTGCGCTGATGCTGACGCGAACAGAGGGAGCGGATGCCAAGAGGAAATTGCACCAGCAGACAGTGGAGGTCCCAGTACCTGGCTGGCACCTGTCTGCCAGCCCCACCCTTGACATGCCTGTGGAGCGCTTGGGGATGCCCAGAACTTTACAGGAGACCGATAAAACACCTGGTGTGGCCAAGCTTCTTGATTCTGCAGAGACTGTTGCTTTCAGTTGCTGGGCTCTGCAGCTGGTAGGAAGCGATTGTCCAGCATATCCTCGTGTCCTTTCCAGGGGCCCTCTGTATGGCCATTCACTGACTCCTGAGCATCTCTGCTGAAGGGCCATGCTGGAGAGGAAAAGTGGTACCCACCAGGCTCTTGTGGTGATTGTGCAGTGAAACAGGCCTGGAGATTGCAGTCAGAAGCACCTGAAAGAAATCCCTCAGCCCTGCCCCTGACTAGTTGGGTGACCCTGAGCTATTCCTTAACCTCCCTGGGCCTCAGTTTGCTTGTTTATAAAATGGGGAAATAATGAGACACCTTTAATACAGTAGCCAGGGTCTGTGCTTTCAGACCCTGGGCACTTCCCAGTTAGTGTGCCCACGAGTCACCTGGGGATTATGTTAAGCTACAGATTCTGGCGCAGGAGGTCACAGGTGGGGCCTGAGGTCCTGCGTCTCTAACAAGCTCCCAGAGGATGCTGCTGCTGCTGGTCCAGGGACCACACTCTGAGTAGCAAGGCCTTTCAGGGTTTCCATGGGGATGACATAAGCACATGTACATCCAAGTGGCCAGAGGAGAGCCTCACACGTGGTGGTGGGTGCTTGGTTGATGTCGGGCTGCTGTCCCTCCCTCCTCAGGACTTTAAGAAAAAGATTCAGTGGAGGAGAAAAGTTCAGGTGACATTATGAGGACCACAGCGATAGTTGCAGAATGGTAAAGCTGGAGGTGACTACGGTCTCTAGACAGGAGCCACAGCAGGACTGCGCATGGAAACCACCTGGAGGCTCATAAACAAATGACAGGTGCCCCAGGCAACATGGACAATCCACGGAGGCAGAAGATCTAAGAGTCCGAGGTGCTTTGGGGGCCATTAGGAGCTGGGCCCCAAGAGGTGAAGTGACAGCTTTAGGTCACTCTGTTTCATCAATCCTTTGTTCTTTCATCCAAGACATACTTATTGAACACCTACTGTGTGCCAGGCACCACAGTGGTGGTTAGGGGATTCAGTGGTGACAAACCTAACCCTGTGGATCTGATCTCTACAGAGCTCCTGGTCTACTGGGGACCTGGACATCGGCGGTGGTCCAAGTAAATAGTGTGGATGATGACACACGGTCATGAATACTTCCCATTCTAGGCAGAGTAGCAGGTGCAATGGCAGAGGGTCCAGAGGGTGGGTAAGAGGGGTGACTTCGATCGAGGAAAGCAGGGAAGGCTCCTCGGAGGAAGCGATGTTTCTAGGTGAGACCGGAAGAGTTAGCAGGAAAGAGCCAGGTGGAGCGTGAGGATTCCAGTGTGACGGAAGTGGGCCAGGGGGAGCACCCTGATTGGGGCTGCGGGAGCGGGCTGCGGCCAGACCACCCGGCCTTCTGTGGGGATCGTGTGGGAGGCCATGTGTCCCGACGGACAGCTCTCTGCTGTTCCTGGGAACCAGCTGCCCCTGCCCCCTCAGGCAGGCCAGGCCTTCTCTAACAAATGCCCCCGGTTCTGTCCGCAGCAAACAGGCCCCATCAGTGCCACCCTGGTGATGACACGCCCCATCAAAGGGCCCCGGGACATACAGCTGGACTTGGAGATGATCACTGTCAACACCGTCATCAACTTCAGGGGCAGTTCCGTGATCCGACTGCGGATATACGTGTCGCAATACCCGTTCTGAGCCGGGGCCGGAGCCGCCGACACGCCTCTCACCAGCACCAAGGGCCAGGAGACGGGGAGCGACGAGAGGGAGAATGAGAGGGAGACAGACGCCCCGCCTTTCCTGCTGAACGTCCCCCAGAGTCAGCCCCGCTGTCCTGGCCACGCCTGCATTATCGTAGACCTGCCGATCGGAGGACACGCTGCCCCAGTTCCTACAGTGCAGTTATCGACAAGGGTTATCCTTGGCACCCTGGCCCCAGGGTCACGGTGATTTTCCAGGCCTTCCGTTTACCTTCATATTTTTCAAAGAAATAGATTAGGTTTGCTGGGGTCTGAGTTCATGTTCAAAGACTGGGAACAGAGTCCTCCCCGCTCCTCCGTGCCTCCCCATCCCCCCCTCCCGCGTCCACGCGCTGATTGCCGCTTTGCAAAGGCCCACAGAGCCCCCGGGGACGCTGTGTGTAGCTAGTCCGCTTCCTGTATGCACAGAGAAGGCTATGGAGAGAAGCCACTGCAGGACCAAAGGGTTCTTACAGAGTCTATGCCAAAACCGCGTCTGGTATCTGCAGCCGTAAAAGAAGGTTTAGAGTTGTCCTGAAACTTGTATAACTGTTTAATCCTTTCTTTTTGTTCATTTTGAGTTTTCGTGTTTTGTTTTGTTTTTAATTAAAGAAAAAGAATAAGTGGTAGAATTCCTTCCAGAGGCCTTCGGGCACATGTTGTGTTCTGTCTTCCCAAACCCAGTCTCCTCTCCCTTTTAGCCCCGTGTTTCCTCTGAGGACCCCTGCATCATGCTTGCTTTCGAATTTTGACCCAACGGGGTTGGAAGGCGGAGGTCTCCGAACTGATGAGGTATCTGAAGAGAGTCTGTGTGTGGTTCATCCGGGCACCGTAGGGGATTCCGCACTTGGGCTGGTTCTAGCTCTCTGTGAAGCTGCTTATTGGAGAAGCTGGCAGGAGCAGCTGGAGAGCTTGATCATCATCCTTCAGGCACCTGGTGGGGAGCGAGGGTGGGAAGCAGAAATGAGGTGAAGAAGTCAGGGGAAGCATAATCCCGAATCCCATTCATTTGACTAGAAAACTAGCAAGTCCTCTGTTCTGAGGATTAGTTCCAGGGACTCTTACAGAACAGGAATCTATTCAAGTCACTTTAAATCAGGGGCCCTCACCCTTGACTGCCTGGGGGAATAAGAAGGGAGCTTTTAAGAAAAAAAACTGACTTCCTGGGCGGCACTCCCAGAGGTTCTGATTAAGTTGGGCTGAGGCAGGGCCCAGGCATGGGGAATCTTAAAAACTCTAATAAGCGGTCAGAGTTGAGAACACGTGGTTAGAAACCCTGTAAAGAAGGGAGACAAAGGTGGCCCAAGTCCCGGCCACCTTGCCCTCAACGTCTTTTTCAGTTCCTTGTAGGGTTCATCATCCTTGTCCTGATCGAGGGCTCTGTATTTCCTCCAAGCGTCAGACCCAGGCAGGGGCAGAAAGGCAGCAGTGCCCGTCCCCGGTTAGAGAACAGGTGGGGGAGCTGCCCTGGTGTCCCACCTGCGAGCTGGCCCGAGCTTCAGAGGAGGAGGTGCACTCCCCGGTGGCCGAGGTTGCCTCTAGAGCAGCGGTTCTCAACCTGTGGGTCGCGATCCCTTTGGGGGTCGAATGACCCTTTCACAGGGGTCGCCTAAGACCATCGGAAAACACATATATAATTACATATTGTTTTTGTGATTATTCACTATGCTTTAATTTTGTTCAACTTGTAACAATGAAATTGGGGGTCACCACAACACGAGGAACTGTATTAAAGAGTCGAGGCATTAGGAAGGTTGAGAACCACTGATCTAGAGGGTATTAAAACCCTACTGCATGCCGGGAACTGGGCCCTGGGTTCTTAGGGTGGAGAAGGGTTTCGTAGAGCCTTAGAGCTGGTTCTTCAGTGGAGGGAATGGCCTGTTGGGCCTCCTTAGCCAGAGAGCATTTCTCATATTTCTCACACCCACACTGCACACCTAGCTTTGTTTTATTCTCCGAAACAAATCCCATCCGAACCATTTCCCACTGTGCTCCCTCAGCAGGTTCAGGTGATGTTAACAACAACATTCACAGCAAATGGCTCAGAACGCCCTTCCTCAGCTGAAGAGAGAGGACGATTTCCTGCAGACTTGCCAGCTGAGGGGCCCCACTTAGCTCTCCGCCGAGCAAAGACCAGAAGGGGGCCCTGAGCCGGGGCTGCGCTTGCTCGCTGGTCAGAGGCTGAGGCCTCGGGAGTGGGCGTGGAGTCAGGGCTGCTGAAGGTTGATGTGAGCTCTGCATCGAGCAGCTCTGAATTACCGGTCCAGGTTCAACCCCGCACACGGGTAAGGCTGCCTTGAACTTCTGGAAGAGAGGGAAGGGAAGCTTTGTCCTGGTGACTTGAGACCCACTGGTTTCAGAGGAGCCACATTTGGAACTAGACCCGAGTCTCTAGTCGAGAGCTTGCATTTTATTTGTCCGTGTGAAAAGGTGGCTTCCTGCTCCTAAGGGAAAAAAAAGCCCAGAGTGTCATAGAAGCCGGCTCCTTGGGCCCCGGGTCGCTCTGTCCCAACGTGACCTGATGAATTCAGTGCCGATGAATCAGAAGCGTGCGGGATCCATTTACCTTAAAATACACTTGGGCCTAAAATTCAAGGGGGAAACACTCAGGGGAGAAACGTGTACCATAAGGCCAAACCCCAGACGTTTGGGAAGCAGTTCCAGGGGCTCCCAGAACCCGAAAAGCTGTTTACTCCCCCCCCCGACCCGCCCCCTCGAGAAGAGACAGATGTTATTGTTTTTGCAAGATTGCGGCTAAGCCTGCTCTTAGAATCACACGCATTGTGCTCCCTCCACCAGAGTCTGTGGGGCGTCTGATGGACGCTTGAAATATCTGGGCATTCGGCACCTGTCCCTTCTCCGCTGGGCGAGGGCTTGTCCTAGACCCCTGCTCTGTGCTGTTCTAGGTCCTGCAGGATGAAGGGGTCTGTGGTGGAAGGGGCGCCGGATTAAGAGCGGGGACATCTGCAAACGTCCTTGTGTTACCGCCTAATCCGGGTTCACTAAGGACCCAAACTTCTACTCAGCGGCCTCTGATTCTCAAGTTTTGTGATTCCTTGACATGTGCTCTGGGGATGACAGCCAGCATTTCCTTTAAACTGACACTAGAGAGTTCACGGGGGTTTGCCAACCATAACACTTTCTGATGGGTGTGGGATCTGCACACCTGTGGCCTCTCAGGCCTGGGTTAGGTTTCCCTAGGTAACTGGCTTGGCCCTTGCGACGTTGTTTTCCCAGATGGTGGACACATTTCAATAGGTGGGATGACTTCATTTTCAGTGGTTCCAATGTACTTTTGTGGGCTGAATGTTTATTGTAAGGTGCACAAGTTCTTCCTGAACCCAGAGAGAGAGAGAGAGACAGAGAGAGAGAGAGAGAGAGAGAGAGAGAGAGAGAGAACGAACATGACAAAGGAGCAACTATTCTTTACTCCCCTCTCAGCTCATGCAATCCTGTTGGTAAAGGTTTTTGTCCTGAAGGGAGAACACTCCGTGGTTGAACGCCCTCCCACCCACCCAAACTTGGCTAAGCCAGTTTCTGGATTCAGAGAAATAACCAAGATGGATTCCAGTTCATGGATAAGGACATGTATCCAGGGTTTATCAGCCAGTGAGACCAAACTAGGAGACAGCGTGATAGGAGCATTTTAGCAGCTCGAAGAAATGATTTGGGTTAGATTTTAATAGTCATTGGCATTGATTTTACACTACAAAATCCTTATGAACCTCCACAGACACATCTTTAAAATTTAGAATGAGATGCCTTTTGCTTAGAACTATTACATGCATTGAAGGGAAACACAAAATCAATGTGAGGTGAAAAGTTTCGTTCTTTTTGATACAGTTTGTGTGTACTGTAATGCAGTCTTAGAAAAAGAAAAAAAGAGTCAACATTTTTAAAACTCTTCATTATTTTGGAATTGGCCAGTGCTCATCACCTACAAACAAATCTACAAATCGTTCCTTCTCGTTGATATTTTTGTTTTCAAATCTTTGTATCTTTACTCAGCAGATGACTATCTCCGTTAGAATTCCAGAAAACTAAAATATGTTAAAAAAATAACAAAGAGGCTTCAGGACAAAGGGAATGAATGCACAGAAGCGAGCTTTATCACTTGGGCAGCTTTTATTGCTACGACAGCCCTGAGTTAGAACTTTTGACTTGCTAATGCTTCCTAATAATGAATCTTCCCAAGTAGCCATCAGTGAAGTATGCCATTAGGGAGAGAAAAGAGTTGTCAATCTAGGAATGATCTATGAATTTGTCATTGACGTGTTCTCTCACAGTGGTGATTGCAGTGACAAACAGGCCATGACAAACTTTTGTTCAGGAATTTGGAAAATTCTTGAACAATAATGTAAAATAAAGGCAGGGGTAAATTGTATGTCTATATAAACACCAAGGTCATTAGGATACTCATTTATCAAGGTCTGGTAGATTATTAGTTAATTAACACCGATTTAGGGCCAAAGAGTCACTGGATAGCTTCATGCCACTGAAGTGTAGGTTTTGTTTGGGGAGAATTGTTCTGGTTTCAACCTAGCCTTTTTTTCAAATTCTTACTATCTACCCTTCTATGTGAAAGGCATTTAACGTTGCAGAACTGGCTTGTATCACACGGTAGTGACTGTCTCTTAAAACAGGTGCCTTGGGTTCTTCTGAGGTTTTTTCTTTCTTTTTAAATTAAATTTGTTGGGCCCGGCCAGTGTGGCTCAGTGGTTGAGCATCGACCTATGAAGCAGGAGGTCAGGGTTTGATTCCTGGTCAGGGCACATGCCTGGGTTGCGGGCTCCATCTCCAGTGTGGGGCGTGCAGGAGGCAGCTGATCCATGATTCTCTCTCATCATTGATGTTTCTCTCTCTCCCTCTCCCTTCCTCTCTGAAATCAATAAACAATTAATTACATTTGTTGGGGTGAGGTTGTTTAATAAGGTTATATAGGGTGAGTCACGAGTTTCCTTCCAGCTGAGCATCTATGCACATTTAGGGAGAGCGAGCCCCCCTTGCCTCCTGCTTGTTTTCCTGTCGGAACATTGGAATTTACTAGGGCAACTGTAGAGATGGGGCAGCACCTGGAGGAGCAGGAGTTGCTCCTTCCAGCTAATACTCAGCCGATACTCTGCTAATACGCAGCTAATAAATACTTGGCTCTTTGCGCTCATTCCCTTCAACCCCGTGCTTCCATCTTGGGGGAATCCCCTCAACGCTGCCCTTCTTAGTTTTCCCCAGATCTCACTCAGCCCCACGCCACTCCTTTGCTGGTTCTTCAACAACCTGGGGAGGGCTGAGGAGGGAGAGGAGAGGGGGAGGCTGGTGCTGGAGCTGGTGCTCTTTTTGTCCCCCCCCATCCCCACTCCCCCCCGCCCCCAGGTTGAACTCTGCTTCCTCACTCACTTCTGAGCAAGGTCCTGGGCTTGAGAGAGCCCTTCACCCCCTCCTCTTCCTCTTCTCATGTCTTTCCTCTCTTCTCTCCTCTCCTCTCTCTTCTTTCCTTCTCTGCACCATCTCCCCACCCCCACCTGATCTTCATCCCGAGGGTGGAAGCCGGTGGTCAGGGATGGGACCGGTCCAGTGAGGGCAGCGCTGGGAGCTGGATCCGTGGGACAAAGTACAAGCTGTTGG